CCCACCTGTACATGCAAACCCAGACATTTATCACCTGAAAAATTATAACGTGAAAGAGTTCAGTCAAATAAGGCAGCTGTAGTAATTGGGATTTACCCTTGCATTTAGTATCAGAAGAGAAAGATGCATTTTGCACATATGGTGATTATCTCTCACTTAATTCTATCACAAGACCTGATTTGTACCAGATCCTGCATATCCATGATATTACTGCTATTATGCAGGGTAAATCGATTTTTCCAAAAATAGATTTGATCAAGGCATATAAATCAATTACCCGTTGAACCAGCAGATATCCCTAAAACTGCTATCACCACCCCGTTTAGTCTGTTCAAATATCCTCATCTATCGTTTGACCATCACAATGCCGGTCAAACTTTCAAAAAATTAATTATCATGTTCTAGATTTTGTATGCACCTATATTGATCTCCTGGTGGTGAGTTTTTCAGTGGAAGAACACATGAAACACTTAAGAATAATTTTTTTTTAAAGATTCAAGAAATATGGGATAGTAATTACTCCTATTAAGTGTGAATTTGGAAAGACTTACTTTTCTCTAAAAAAAAACAAAACAACAACAACAAAACAACCATCATATGCCCAAATAATAAGTAAGTTGCATGGGAGAGATGAATGATCACCCAAATTTAGGCCCATATAACCAACACAGACTGCACACATGTGAAATTTTACCAGTGGCGTAAGTTTGGGAATCAACTTGCTAGATTATGGCACCTTAAACAAAATATTCCCTAAAAATGAAATTTAGCCATCTTTAACCTAACCCAAAACAGAATGAAATGAATGCTTGCGTTGAGAATTGCAACTCTTGATAAAGCTTCAACCAATCCAAACATGACAGAAGGAATTTCTAGGAGACACTAATACTCTAATAATATGATTATTTTGACATGAAGTCGAGAAGGAATTTAATTCACCTGTTGTGGAGATAAAATATCTACAAAAGGCAGGCAGGCATTCATGCACTACATGAGGAGTTTATAGAACCTCAACATTAGGGCTAAACTGGCAAGAGAAAAAAAATGGTGTTAAAAGATGAACTTATAGACTCGTCCTTTTCTACCTATCACCCCTAGTAACAGAACAGTCTATACCTTACGCCTACGTACGGAAAACTTCGACCAATAAAAAACCGTACTAGGCGAATCAACAAATCTCATTGGTTAACGACACAATAATCTGAAAGTTTCACGTGCAAAACAAAATTGCACCAAAACTTCTTTGAGCCGATTTTGGACTTTCGAAACATATAAAAGAAAACACCGACTGACCAAAAGAGTCAGAGACGAACATCCACAGAGAAATTGCTAACATATTCCATGTCACTCGAAATCACGACTTTACGCATAAAAAAAAGTACATCAACGCTGACTCACTTGCAATTTAAACTCGACCAACTCTGTGGACATCAAATCGCAAAACCTAAAAAAACAACTTTTTTTATCCAAAGTGAACTATGTTCACTACATTATTAAGTAAAAATCAACATTCAGACGATTCAGAAATATTACAGTCAAAGGTAGACCACTCTATAAGAACTCATTTAAAAAAACACTTAACATCGACATTTTAATACTAATTAACACAATTCCAGAAAGACTGTAATTGAACATACAAATACAAAAAAAAGAGACATACCGAAATCTAAAATATCACACACTTTGCCATAGTAACATATCCTATATATATATATATATATATATATATATATATATATATATATATTATATATTTTTGACTTCGTTGGTGTGTTGTTATTTTGAGGATAAGGTTGGCCGTCTTAAATTTTTTATAATAGATAATAAGTTTGATTTTTTTTATCCGGGTCAATAGGAGTAGTATATTTTTTTATAATATGTCTTAGAGCAGATTCATCTTGCTTGTAATTAATATGCATTTGGTTTTGTAATAAATGTGTATGTGATTTTTAGTTGTGTGTTCGCTATCATTATTACTTGCTTTGGGGAGGAATATTCTAATTTGTTGGTCTATAAGGTAGTTAGGGAAACCGTTGTTAATTAGTGTTTGTTTAACGTTGTTAAGTTCTTTGAGAAAGAGTAGTCGAGAGGATGAGTTCTGGTGGGCTCTATTTAGAAAGTTTTTTATTACAGCTATTTTGTACCTAAGTGGACATTCACTTTTGAAATTAAGGTGGCACGAGTTTTTGCTGGTGGGTTTTTTTGTATAATGATGTAATGAAAGTGTTATTGTTATGTTCAACGAGGATATCTAAGAATGGTAGTTTGTTTTTTTGGCTAAGTTCATATGTAAAATTAAGGACGGAGTTTTTCTCAAATGTGGTCTTAAGTGTCTCTATTTCTTTAATGTTATCAGCTAAAATGAATATATCATCTACGTATTTAACATAGATTTTCGGTTTGTGGACCTGTGTAAATATGGTATTTTCTACGTAGGACATATAATAGTTAGAGAAGCATGGACCCAATGGATTTCCCATACTAACACCATTAGTTTGGGTATAAATATTGCCATTATGGTCATAGAAGGGGACTTTGGTTGTGCATGCGTGTAGTAATTTTTTTAGGATAGGTGGTTTGATGGATGGCGGAGGGATGGAATTATTATTGTATATAGAGTTGAGGATAATATCGATAGTTTTGTCAACAGGGATGTTTGTGAATAAGTTTTCAACGTCCAGTGACGCTATTATACCTTGATTTGTTCCATTTGTAGTTTTTAAAATTTGTAGGAATTCGTGGGTGGAGGTGATGCTGTAATTGGTAGGTAGGTATGGAGTGATGATATCGTTAAGGAATTTTGATAGCTCGTAGATAGGTGTTGGTATCTGGGAAATAATTGGTCGTAGCGGGTATCCTGGTTTATGTGTTTTTATGTTTCCATATAAGTATCCCGGTTGGTAATCTCCAACTATTTTTTGAATTTTCAGGGAATCGACTTCCGCGTTGTGAGCTGTTATTAGTTTGTTAACAGACCTTTTTAAATTCTCAGTGGGATTTCGTTTCAATTTGGTGAATTTAGACCGGTCATCGACGATATCTTTTAATTTTTGCTGGTAATCAGCTTTGTTGACTATAACATATGTGTTAGATTTATCAGCGCGTCTGATGACAATGTCAGCGTTGTTTTTTAAATCTTTCGCAGCGTTTTTTAGTTTTGGTGTTAAAATACTACTATGGTTGGTGCCGGGGGATCGGTTCTTCAAACCCTCAGCTTTGAGTAAGTCTTTCAGGTCAGGGTGTACTGCTATGTCACCACGCGTGGAAAGTTGGGATAGTGATTGGTATAGAATTTCAATTGTCTTGGTGATAAGGTCAAACTTAGGTTGGATGTGGCAGTTTGGACCTAAATTTAAAAATTCTTTTTGGTCATCTGTTAATCTATGGTTGGATAAATAAATATTTGTCTTCACTGTTGGGTAGTAAAATATTTCCTTGATATAATTTACAAAGTTTTTTTGTAATTATTTGTCTGTGTGTGAGTTGGTGCTGGTTGATGCTAAGATTGAGGTGGTACAGTGCTTCATTATATTCAGATTCGGTCAAAGTGGTTTTAGTGTAGTGTTATGTTTGTGTATTTCTTTGTTTAAATGTTGGATTTCATTTTGAGCTAATTTTATTTGTCGTAAGACGAGGTTTTTCCTGAATATAGTGGTGTTATTTTCCTTGTTGGCTGCCGGGTCGTGTAATTTGATATTTGTATATTTAGGCAGCAATCCTTCCTTTATGCATGTTTCATTAAAAACGACAGACAAGGTACTACAGTTGAGCTTTTTATTTAATTTTTCTTGTGTTCTGACAAGAGTTTTCTTTTCTGGACAAAGAGTGTGTAAGAACTGTCCGAATGTTCTGTGTTTCCGAGCGCTTTCGGCTATACCTTTAGCCATTATCAAGGATGGTTCAATTATCAGCTTAGTAGAGTGTGTTCTATGTATGTTCAGTGTGTGGTAGTGATGTTTTAGTTTCCAAATACGGTTAGCACATTGTGGCTTTGTTCATAGTTGATATTGTTAAGAGTTGGCTTTTTCTTTTTTATTATTAGAGCTTCCATTATTTTTAGTCTTTTTTTGCAAGTGGATGCAGTTAATATATTAGTGTTTTCTACTAGTATGTTCCTAATAGTGTCGGGTAAATCTGAGTGTGTGTTTAAATGTGTTCTGATGGAACTGTGATCAGATAGGTGTAATGTAAGACGTCTGGATAAACATGTGGTTGTGTAGCCGATGTAATTATTTATGAGTCCGGTTTGGTGAGGAACGCAGTTCCTTAAAGGGCATTTGAACTCATAGATAATGTTCGTTCTTTGTAATTTTGACTTCATTGGTGTGTTGTTATTTTTTTGAGGATAAGGTTGGCTGTCTTAAATTTTTTTTATAATAGATAATAAGTTTGATTTTTTTTTATCCGGGTCAATAGGAGTAGTATATTTCTTTATAATATGTCTTAGAGCAGATTCATCTTGCTTGTAATTAATATGCATTTGGTTTTTGTAATAAATGTGTATGTGATTTTTAGTTGTGTGTTCACTATCATTATTACTTGCTTTGGGGAGGAATATTTTAATTTGTTGGTCTATAAGGTAATTAGGGAAACCGTTGTTAATTAGTGTTTGTTTAACGTTGTTAAGTTCTTTGAGAAAGAGTAGTTGAGAGGATGAGTTCTGGTGGGCTCTATTTAGAAAGTTTTTTATTACAGCTATTTTGTACCTAAGTGGACATTCACTTTTGAAATTAAGGTGGCACGAGTTTTTGCTGGTGGTTTTTTTGTATAATGATGTAATGAAAGTGTTATTGTTATGTTCAACGAGGATATATATATATATATTACTTTTAATTGTATATAAATGTTTTGTTGGTTTCTAAATTGGATATGTCTTGTTTTTGATTGTATTTAAAATTCATTTATTTATTTGTTTGTGGATGCAGAAAGTTATGCAACCTACACAAATTCCTTCTGATTCACTCAATTACAATTAATTAATTCTGCATATCCCCAACAAACTAATGCAAAGAAAAGGAATATGAAGAGATTTGTGAAAAGGGAGATAATGAGAAAAGCGGTAATGCTAATATAAAAAAATAACGAGAAAGGAAAGTGAGAATTTTCCATTTTTCTTTTATTTCAGTTGACGACATCCAGTTAAGTTTACTTTTGTCATTGAAATCACGTACATAATTCAGCATGTAAGTGCACACACACACACACTTTCTACAAAAACCCCGTTTATTTCAACCTTACTCTATCATTCATTTGTTGTGTAAATAAATTGTTTTTGTTCTAAAGCCTTGTGTGTTGTCTGTCACTATCACATCACCACATATGTAGATAATCCGGCCCGGAGAAAGAACATTATTTCTTTTTGAAATATGTGGGATTATTTTCTTGATCCCATTTATACTGCATTGGTTTCGTGGTGTAATATGTATAGGAATTGGCTATTCGTAACAATGGTCACAAGAAACATTTAAAAGCTGTCACCATTGCCAAGGGGGTGTACAAACCAAATATTAAAAAATGGCACCTTTATTACTGCCCAGACCAAATTTTCTATTTCTTTGAAATTCCTATATACAAGATGAAAAATAAGGCAGTCCTTCACATAAGCCATGTTAATCTGCCAAAGTTCAGTTTCACTTAAATGGCATAAAATAAACTCATTTTACATCTTTAAATATTTTTTTTTTTTTGCATTGTAAATATCACCATGGCCATTGAGCATTCGGTGATATTGAGCTGGGTTTGGGAAATTGTTTCTCAATTGAGATGGTGAATCAGTGAGTAGAGGCTCTGAAAGAGATGATTGTGTTGTGTATTCAGACTAGAAGCCATATTATTTTCAGATGGCTGAGCTGCTTATGTTAGAGTTGAGGAAATCAACTCCTCAGCAGCATTTTGTGAATCCTCCAGGACAAGAACAGTACTGGGTTTTCAGCATTTACTTGCTGCATATGCCACCATTACCTGTTGCGATAATGTTTAATTGTAATAAATGTATACACCCTGATCTTATTGATTTTATGTCATTCAGGGAATAGCAGTTTATTTTATGCCACTTAAGTGAAGAATTACCAAAAATAATAGCAATTTTTTTTTTTTGTAAATTACTTTAGACAGCTTATAAAGTATCACAATGATACACATTTGGTACATTTCCATTTATTTGTGAAGATATATTAAGTTATATAAGAAATTTGTGTGATTTAACAATGGTGAACAAAACTGTATTTTCATATTCAGGAACACACTTGCACTCAAAGAAAGGTCTTGTTAAAACTTGATCTAACTTCACACTTTCATACAAAAGCTCGTTTTACATATCTCTTAGTCCCTTCAAATGGTTACTTTTAAAAGACTTACAACTGTACAAAAAAGTATTTGATTGCTGGATTATTTTCCATAGTTGTTTTTCAGAGTCTTAATTTAGTATCATTTACCTACTCAACTAGAATTAGTAAAATAATTTCATGCATGAATTGACAAGTGAGAATATAATTTCATTTCCACGATTAGAAATATTTTGCACAAGTATTTAATTCCCAGTATAAAAAAAGAAAAAGAAAAAAAGGGCAGTAAATTAGGCAATAACATTGAGCCATTCTTATAACCACAATTGTTGTTGTAGAAGGCTTATATAAAATTTTACAAATTAAACTTTCATTCATCTTTGAAACCATGATTAAAACCAAAGAACACCAAGTGCCTGAGGGGGGGGGTGAAGTTCATCAGTCCAGGAAAAGCTACAAAAAAATTGACATGATTTGCCATCACCTAAATGGCAAGAAATTGGTACCATATCAGCACTTGCAAGGGCAAATTGTCCAAAGCAGAGTCGAACACAATGACAAAATCACAAAAAAAGTTTCAACTGACCAGAAATCAAGCATGATGGATAACAGGAGAGATCTGAAGAACACTAGAACAGGCAAGAAATTCACAGATGGATTTAAAAAAAAAAAAAAAAAAAAAAAAAAAAAAAAAATGTAAAGAGAGATCCTAACAGTGTTGTGAATATATTTTATGGAGTCATTTAGGACTACAAGTATCAAGAATCTCATCAGGACTGAAGGCAGAATAGATTTGCTAATATCAGTCTATTCTTTCAAAAAGATATTTTAATCACTTATGTTAAGCAATTTAGTTTCCAGAACTAGAACTTTGAAAAACCACATCAAAATGGTTAAAGTACAATAATGTTATGGTAATAAATTGCCTTCAAAATGATGTGTGGCATGAGTTCAAAAATGCTATCTATGAATGGAATTTGGAATTATTCTGCACAGAAGAATACTGGTCAATGGATGTAGAAGCATTATGGAAGACTACAGAAAACATCTTTTCAGTGATTGATACCAAAGGAACCTCAACTAAGTATTGGTTGAGAAAGAATACATATGAAAAGTTATTTATAAAGTTATATTATCTCTTGAATAGATAATAGGACATCAAAACAAATTCAATGATTAATCAGGGGGGAGAAAAAAAAAAAGGAAAATAATATCGATGTCAAATACTTTTACCAATTACACAAGTTTTTTTGTTTTTTTTTCTAATTTGAAGAGTGAACATGGGTTCAGCTTTTACACATTCTCTCAATGTGATCTGAAAAATGTTGCATTAAAAGGACATATATGAATCTGCAACACTTATTGTCACAAAGATGACTAAAGTGAGAGATCCTGGAAGGAATGGTATCTTTTTCTTTATTTTATAGTAATAAAGAAACAATTTTATATATATATATATATAAAAAAATAAAATATTAGCTAGTGAAAGAAAATTTGTTACAATTCATACTTGAAACCAACAACTTATTGATAAAGATGATACAAATTGTTTGAGCGAGACAACAATAGTAGATAAATGTGTACTTATGCTTGTTGGTAGAGGAATTCTTTCCATATTAAAAACTATTAACAGGATATTTATACACACACTGATAACAAGCAATGTGCATATACTGCATTTGGAACCTGCAAAGAGAAGAAAAATAACTGATCATAACCAATGATTTTATTATATGGAAATATCAGACATTAAAATCTTACTATATTATATGCTAAGTGTATTTATATTCATTTGTAATGACTATTAAGGTTACTGCAAAGGATATAAAACTAGTTATCTCCCTTGCACTAGCAACATCTGATGGCAGAGTCTAACAATGAAAAGAACTGTAGATGTTTAAGCCAGGTGGTGAAAAAATTGACCGTGAAAGAGAGTACAAAACAATAATAATTGGGAAAAATATTTTTTCAAAAAGACCCACATGTGAAAACCTAATACTAGAAAAACTTCACAAAAGAAGCAATCATTTTTAATGGCATGGGTAAACAAGTAAATAAAAATAAGGTAACTAAGAGACATTGATCTAAAAGGCTCTTAATATGATTTGCACATCTGATTTACAAATTTAGAAATGCAATACTTTTCAGCAAATGTTTATTCAAGCAAAGATTTAGTCCTTAATCATTCTCTTCCATACCGATGACCAGTTCATGAATATATTCATAAAATCCCCAATACCTCAGATATATACCAATGTATACTTGGTACAAAGCTTAATTTTAATGTATGAAGCTAAAACACACCTTTGTATAATGGTGAGCCAAAAGACCATGACTAGCTAATTGCATACAACAATGACAGTCACTGCACACGTTAGTGATTGTTGATTGGTTACACATACAGGGTTTTAAACGCAATGTACACACACACACACACACACAAGCAGTATACCAGAAACTGACAAAAACCAAAAGTCTATTTTTATATCATCAAAATTCAATCAAACTTTTATCATGAAAACAAACACCTTAGTATTTTTTTTCAATTCCACTTAGAGCACTTTTCCGGAACACACGAAAAAAGAGGGCTTAGTAAATTTGACTTCCAAATGACATACTGAGTAGAAAAAGGAGAAAGTGAGAAACACATCTAACAAGGTTGTGTAAATGGATAGCAGAAAAGTGCTTGAGAAGGACAGTAAGAAAATAAACATGGCTTTTAGCTACAAAGAACAAGAAATTGTGGAGAGTCATGGTCACCTTTGTTCTAATTACCAATGTTTTAGAAGTAAGACAAAAACCTGAGTATGTATAACAAAAGTAAATGAAAATAAACACTTACCTGTATTTTTTGACTGAATATCTAAAACACTGTTTGCTGGGCATGGACTGGATTCCTTTGAGTCATCAGTGTCATTAAGTTCTGATTGACTGGTGTCACTTGTTGAACGTAAGCTATTATTTGGAGAAAAATGTTCACTACCAAGCTGTCTGCTTTTCCTTGAACTGCAAGATCGTACAGAAAAGTTGTCAGAGTGAACTGATGCAGTATCACTCAGAAAATTTTGACAATTGGAAGAACTGAACAGACTGTCCCGATCAGAAAATGCCTCTGGGAGGAAGAAGAAAAAAAAATAAAAATAAATAAATATCAAAATCAAAGCAGATCAAATTTTGGTGCTTGTATTATCATAGTTTTAATTTATACTGATAAGTGTAACAAATAAAACTTTCTAAAACACATAAAAATGTGTATATGATAATTTATATAATAAAATATATTTTTATGGTATGCTATATTTATCCACTGTGCCATGTGTTCGGGACACATGGCACAGTGGATAAAGGCATTAGTTAGATCCAGTGACAGGACCCAAAAAGTCTGAGTTCAATACCTGGTTACGGTGGTGGAGAACTTGGAGAGGGGAATTAACAAAAGATAACTGACATCCATTAGACATGGCACGTGGAACTAGAACAGTCTACCCCAGTGAGTGGGTTCATTTCGACATTCCAACCACCTGAAGAAGGCCGGAGCATACAATGGCCAAAACATTGTAATAAATATTGCGACAAATATGAGGACACTAGTTCAAATAATGTAAATAGTGTACATAATACCCCATCTCAGAAATATAGACAGATAATATTCAACGTCAATAACACTACTCTGAGTTTCATGCAATCTTTTGATGTGGATTCTGACTGTTATCTGTCACGTTCTCGTGATGGTTATTAAAAATTGCGTTTACAAACTTGTCTATCTAAAATATATGATTAACTTTTAATAATTTATATCGTTCAAATTTAGGAGTTTGAAAGTTGGAGAATTAAGAATAATAAAAAAAAAATTAAAAAGAAAAAAAATCATTTTTTAATTTGAATTTGGTTTCACAAAATAAATACATCCCATGGTTTTAGCATAAAAATCGAATTTATATTCATTAGCATAAACTATAACACAGATTAGGAATATAAAGGTACAAAAGTAAGTAAAATAAACAGACAAGTAAATAGAACTGAAGATGAACGACATGCAACTCTGAGTAGTGTTATTGATGCCGGATATTATGTATATTCACTAACATATACTTATAGCTAGCTGTTTCATAACACTTCAGAAATAAATGTACTTACATACGAGCAAGTATTTTTGCGTGTATGCAAATTTTTTATCCTATCCATTTGTCTATGTGTGTGTGTGTATATATATATATATATATATATATGTAATTAAAAAAAGAAAAAAAAACTTTCTGCATAAGATTTCATCCTCTAGAAAGACTCCATCAGACTTGAGTAATGTTTTTGCTGATAATATTATATGTGTAGGAAGGAAAGATATAAAAATGCAAGTGACAGTTACAATTATTCACCGACAGAAAGCACTGAACATTTATTATAGTAGTAAAACTAAAATCCATGAAAATGTCTAATAAATCATCCAAAGGCATTCAGAGTCAACAAATGTAATAAAATAAAGAAACCTTTGTCAGTTTTGTTTAACTTATATTATTTGAAGAAAGTTATCAAGAACAGTATTTGGGGATATTGTATTACAAAGTGGAAAAAGTTTACTTGTGACACATTTCGCCCTTCAGGACTTCATTGGAAGAGTCTGAAATACAAATATTTAACAAGGAAATCATGAAACTAATTAAAAATGAAAACAAATCATGGTACAGACTCATAGAATATCATCAGAGAACACCCAAACTTCATGGTCTCCCTAAAACCCACAAAACAGGTTGGCCATCCTTGACTTAGCATATTACCCCCACTTACAATAGTGTCCAACGTATTTATGAGGATTGAGACATACCCATTAGTGTTCATAGGTACAGTATATAATACCTCCAACTTTTATAGTTACTCTATACAGAGTCAATATCTTTTCCTTTTCGGGTTAATATCGATTCTCTCTCTATCTCTTCTTTTCCTCTTAATTTGTCTTAGGAACTTTCTGAGGAATGGGCACATCAAATGCGTCGAAAACATCCACTGGAGTATTGTTCTCTTCAGCTATATACCTTCTTTTTGTTTGATTCAAGTTCCTTTTGTGCATCATTTTTGGTCCTTTGATTAAATATATCATCCTACTGATTCTTTGGAGGAGAAGTCCAACTTTCCAATATCTATTTCCCAACTGATACATTCATAAAAAACCTTTTCACCCACTTTGTAAAATTTATTTCCAGTTTTTTGTATCGTATGTCCGACTTTTTTCTTATTCGGTATCATCTTGTCAAAGACTGATCTTATTTTTTGCGCAAACATAATTTCTGCTGGAGTCTTTTAATAGTTTGTTTAACAAAGCTCATAAAAAATGCATGTTTGGCACAAATACGTTGTAATAATTTGCCAAACCCAGAGGGAAGTAAATTTTCAGAAGGCATTGTCTTTTATAGCACTGGCTTGCGCTGGATCTGGTCTCCTGCCATTTTTGTCAATTATTTGTCCCAAATATTTGATTTTATTCATAAAAAATTTCCATTTTTCGTCTTTCAGATTGAACACATAGTTTTGAATCCTTCTGAAATTCTAGAAAATATTTTCCTTAAGCATTGTATCCATTTCTTGCTGAAAAACAGCTGTGACAACCTTTATTCCAAAAGACAAACAATTGAATTTATACATTCCTTGATGTGTTTATCATAAATAATTTGGAACACTCGTTGTCCACTTCAATCTGCATATATGCGTCACTTAGGCCAATTTTCGAAGATATCTGACCTCCAATAAGTTGTGCAAAAACCTTTTCCAGCCCTGGAAATGGGCAGTGATAACTTTTGAGGGCATCATTTAAGCCTGGGGAGAAATCCACACGGACACGTATCTCTTTAATCTTTTTCTTTATATATACTGTTGGTGAAGCCCAATCACTATAGTGAACTTTAGATAAAACACCCATTTTTTTCAAGTCTGTCAAGCTTGTCATCAATCTGTTTTAACAATGCAAAGAGTACATTCCTTTTCTTTTTGAAAAAATGTCATCTACAGTAAATTTGTGCTCTGGCTCTTTCATTTCACCATTCCTGGCAGATCTAATATCACAGTGAAGAATACCTACTTACAAAAGTAATGCAAAGAAAAAGACTAAATGAATTCAACTAAAAAATAAAAATCTAAATCTCTCAGCACCTCTCTGCCATGTGCATATGTGGTCCCATCAACATAACAAATTTAGTCTGCTCAAGTCCTGAAGGACGAATTCTGTCACAAATAAACTTTCCACTTTGTAAGACAATTTATTGAGATATATATATTATATATATACACACACACACACACACACAAGGACAAGGTAAGTAATGCCCCATATTCTATTATGCTGGTCCAAAATATCAGAAATGACATGTGAATGCTGATGAGATGGCATTAGGGGTTGAGTCCTTATCACCAATGATACATTAATATATTTTGAGTCATGTTAGATAGCAGCTGAGTAGTGATCTAGTAAAATGGCATCTTATTTAAAAGTGCACATGATACAAGTGTCTTTGAATTCTTTTGTTGAACTTATTAACAGTCATCAACACTTGCCAGGACATTTATGTCATTTCAAACAGTGCACATCACTAGTTCACCATCAAGTAATACATTTCAGTAGTGGTGACGTTAATACGTAATGAGTCCATAGTATGCAGCCTCTTGTTTATTAATGGTGAAAATGCATAATCAAAAGGTGGCAACTATGTAAAAAAAAAAAAAGGGGGAAGTTCTGTAGTTTAAAATCTGCTCTATCCAACAGTGTTAGCACTCCCTTCTAGTCACCATGACATGGAAATAAATAGATATTATGTTCAGTGCATTCCCACATGCATGTATGGGTTGCCAAGGTCATGATTTTGCATGAAACATTGATTTTTTTTATTTTTATTTGATATACTTTACTAACTTTTTTTTTTAAACTGAGAAAAGATTTGGCAATTAATTAGGGGGGGGGGCAGAATATATTCTTGACAATGTTATAATGAGCTATTTTTTTGTTTCAATTAGAAACAAAGAATCACTTTAATATCAAGAATCTGTAAAAATCTTAAAATAAACTTTTTTCTTTTAAACTTTATGAATTAATATGCAGAACCGACGCCAATATTTTATGAAATTGTTTAGTTTTTCTTAAATCAAAATCCACATACTGTTTGGTGAGAGATGATCACTTTCTTGTTTGAAAATAGAAAGTCTGGCAGGCGCAATTTCTCCTCGAGTCAAAACTGGAGATGGAGAACTATTCATGGATTTTGACAGATTGGCATCTATAAAACAGAAAAGTGCAGAAAGGTATTTCATTTAAAAACAATAACGTCTGACAAATATTTCCACAATAATTACGCTCTGATCAAACAGAAAGAACTGCAGAAACACATTTTGGCTAGTAGATTAAAGTATTGGTTTGTGCAATTGGGTGCCTGTGTAATTACAAGTTCAATCTCTGGGCAGGGCAGTGGCTACTTCAAAACAGGGTGAACAATAACTGAGCAGTATTAAATAAGAACTAGGAGAGAGATCCATGAACATAGACAGCAGAATGAGTACGATCTACCAGCCTCCCTGCTGATTAAATAAAGGGGTGTTTGAAATTTTACCTGGATTGGCAATCACTTAATGAAGGACAGAGGACACACTGGCTAAAATGTTGTGATAACAGCAACATAGATGGAGACATTAGTAAATAATGATAATTACTCATTCCAGAAATAGAAGCAGACATTTTGGTTTATCAACATCTTAAGGAATTTTTTTTTTTTAATTATTTCACCAAATAACAATGTTTATATCATTACTGAATAATGATTTTATTTTGAGAGTAACAAAAAATTCTGCAGATGTAATGACATGTTTATTATGTAAATTATTTGGATATGTATTCTCATTTGTTCTATTTAATGAGGCTAATGTATAAATTCTCAAATTATAAATCATTCATCTATTTTTGTTTTTAAATCTTCCATTTATAAATCAATTAGAACAATCTACAGATCTAAGTATTGAAGGAAAAAAAAGAAAAAAAAAAAAAGAAGCAATCTTGGACCTTTGCACTTGCAATAAAACTGTCAAAATGATATTTTTCCCTTGACACCATTATTTTAATTACCTCAGCAATGTTCATTGTTTCAAAAAGCAATGATTAGAATTTTAATAAAACTTAAACATATGAAAGTTAATTTATACATTTTCTTTGATCTTGAAAACTGACAAAATAAGGACTATTTATCTATTAGATTGTTTATAAGAATGTTTGGCAAAACATTGGCTCATTGCCAATTGATTCAAAAAAGAAAAAGGTAAATAAGGAATTCCTGATAGCTGGTTCACATATTTTAATAATTTAGTAAATGTTTATAAGTCTAAGAATAAAAAGGTTTTTCATATTTATTTATAAATTTTTATGATAAATATCACATTTTATCAGTTTTAATACAATTGTATTAGTTTTTAGAATGTTGTAAATATAAAATTATTCCTGTAGCAATCTAATAAAGTGTTTAATATGTTGTAAATTCTCAAACAACAATAAAGTATAAATTCCCTTTCATCATGTTTAGGCTTTATTACAATTCTAATCATTGCTTTTTAAAACAATAAACATTGATGAATAAAGGTAGTTAAAATAGTGGTGTCGAGGAAAAACTGCACTTTTGAAACTCCAATTGTTTTTTTCAGGAACGAAGGTCCAAGAATGTCAAAAATAGATTGCAATTGACATCTGTTCTAATTTTGTTAAATGAGCATTGCACATAACACAACTAAGAATTTAGGTTTTCAGAGAAAACAATTTATTAGATTAATTTGTTTTTTCCTAGCTTATCAAACTTTTGAAGGTTATTTAAGGCCAGAAATTTTTCATTTAATTCTGTAAGAATTTTTGGAAGATAATGATTTTTACTGATACAAGCTCTACTAATTAACCCATAGCTGGTGGGAGAAGAGATGGATTTATACCTTTTTCCTAGAGTATTAGGATGTAAGTGAATATAAAGAACTCAACTGGGATTGGAACCCAGTTCCCTGATTTCTGAACCACTATCAATTGCACCATCCACACATCCAAGCTTACAGCACTTGGTATGCCTATGCAGTGCAGTTACCCATTTAGGTCCAATATTGCTTAACTTCAGTGATCATATGAGAACTGGTGTTTCAACATAAGGCTTTAAACCAACTATTTAGAATGAATGTGAAATGCATTTTATATTTTTTATTATTGGCAATTCCTGTTGCCTTATGCACAGAGAAAGAATATTACTCTGATATCTCTTGTAACCTGAAGACAAAAAGATATTTTTAACCAGCTCTTATGTCAATAGATGATCAAAAAAAAAAAAAAAAAAAAAAAAACGCTGGGGCTAGAGAAGGAAATACCAAAAAAGGATAGAGTAAAGGACATTTCCTATTTGTGTCTATAGCAGAAAATAATAAAACATGCTGACCTACCTGACATTGACTTTTGAGAGTGAGATATAGAAGATCCAAGGGAGATTTTGTTCATTTTTAAGCCAAGAATGTTATCTGCTAAAGATGAAGGTGTATTTTTGCGTGTTTCTTTCAGAGAGGAAAAACTTCCATTCAATGAACTCGGACCTCGTTGGAAATAAGGAGACAAATGATTTTTGTTGTTTACTGACAAAAAACTTGATGATCTGGATAATGGCCGAGAAAAAAATGATTTGGGCGAGGATTGTCCAGAGGCAAAGTTACCATTAACTGAGGTTTGGCTCAGAGATTTAAAAAGATTCAAATCATGTCCAAGAGGAAAAGACAGAAAGTCTGTTTTGATAGAAAGTGGTTGCCAAGTGTCTTTGACAAGAGGAAAGGAACTGGATGAAGATCGATGGTGAAGAAAAGGTTTATTAAAAGATGAAAAGGATGAATCCAGTTTGCTTGGAGATGTTAATTTGGTTTTGCTGGAACGCCAACTGGAGAGAGAATCGCTACAATCAAAACAGCGTACAGACTCTGCTCGTTGTGAACTGAATGATGGTAATGATGAAGAATTTGATGACCGAGAATAGGAAAGTCTGTAAAAAGGAAGAGAAAAATAATAAGTGTAACAAAAGTTAAACATTTATACAAAAAGGTTATGAATCAAATAGTTTTAATTTGATATAAATTAAAACATATGATCATAGAAAGAAAAAAAAAATCATCCACTCATAACAGAAAGGTTGTTCAGAAAATATCAGTTTAAAACTGTAACTTTAGAGAGGGTACTCATTCTTTTATTTAAAAGAATTATATTGCTCAGCAGATGTACCTGTATAAAGAATTTTTTTTTTTAAAGTTTTGCTGAAAATTCCTACAATACAGTGAGGGTTTACCCTCATTATTTTGATAAGGTATTTTTCTTTTTATTAATGGTGAGATAACCATACATATTTTATATACAGAGTGTCCATAAAGTTCATGTGCACTTTAAAAAATTTATAACTTTATTTGTATTTGTGATAGAAATAATTTGTAAAAAGGATTAGAAAGAAGTAAATCTATTTTTTTAAGGTTTTATCGAAATTTTATTCGACTTTCCACATGTACTCCATCATTAGCAATACAAAGGGTAATACGATTTTGCAGTTCACGGAAAACATTTACCAACTGATTTACAGTAATGCCCGAAATCAGTTATTTTAGCTATACTTAAAACTAGGTACATTAAACTTTATAACATTTTTTTTTACAGATTATTTCTATTGCAAATACAAATAAAGTTATAAATTTTTTAAAGTGCACACGAACTTTAAGGACACCCTGTATAAAGAACAGTATAATGTAAGACAAAATGGAAAAGTTTTTTTCATTTTGTCTAATAAGTGCAAATCAATAACACCTAAAATACTAGAATTTAATGTGTTTCAAGTAAAATTAACGTCAAGAAAGTGCTCAATAGAGAACTAAAGTAATAACTGTCAAATACAAAAAAAAAAAAAAAAAATCCTTTGACTGATTTCAAAGTTTTATTGTGTCTATGAAACTGAGCTTTTATTAATATATTGACTCAGTTTTACACATACATGCATATTCTTCATTCAGTGACAATATTTAACTAATCGCACAACACTGTAAACTAAATTTGATGAATAGAGCCAACGAATATTTCAAATATTTGTCATGCATTTGGTTCTATAAGTATATGAAAATACAAAACTAAAATTAAGAAATTCAAGTAAGAATATTAGAAAAAAGAACTTTTGAAGCTGAGCAGATATCTTTATTTTTTTTTCAGGCTTTCTTTGCTGCCAAAGAAATTTTTGTATGACAATGCCAACTCTTAAATTAAAAAAATGTTATTGCCTTCAACACTGAATTTGCATTTTAAACTTTTACGCTTCTCTAATTTTCTCTCTGTACAAAGTCTATAGTATTCTCAATTCATATTTATCTTATACTCTAAATTGTACTAACAACATGTACAAAAAAAAAAAAAAAAAAAAAAAATTAAATCATACCTGGAAATTTTTTTATTTGAAACTGTACTTCTTGAGCAAGCAGAAGAGAAAATGTTTAAGATGATTGAAAGTAGGCTGACAGCGGGATTGACAGATTGCAATGTTGAAAGAAAAACACTGGAAACCATGTTAAATGTTATGAGAACACTCAACAGAGATTGAAGGAACCAAATGACGCAGCAAACTACATCACTTGCATACAAACTAGAATATGAAGGGAGAAAAAACAAAAAGAGTTTACTTTAAAGTAACAAAACAGTTCGAACCAAATCAGATTCTATTGTAAAATCAATACACTTCTAAAGACATATGTAGAACACACAAACAGACAAATGCACTTTAATTGTGCCATTTTTAATGCAGTGTAATAATGGCAATATTTAATCATTGGAAAAGGAACCAGCAAGACAATTTTACTTCAAACTTATGAAGATAAAGAATTTTAATTATAACTTTTCATTAGTATTAAATTGTTTTTCATTTAAATATTTACTTAAGGTCTTAAAGTATCTAAAAAAAAAAAAAAAAAAAACAAAACATAAATGAATAAGTTTTCCGAACACAGGTGGTGAGATATCCTAAACAAGTTGCATCAAAAGATGACCCAGAAAAATGACAAACCATACAATATCCCACAAGGCTAAATGAATAAAAAAAATTCCACCTGAAAAATCTAAGATTAAGCCAAGATTATAAAAAAATTTCTTTAAAGAATAAACGATTTTACATGATGTTGAGAAAATATATGGTTTGATTATATTCTCTTACCTTTTTTGTCCCACCCATAAGAATTTAGATGTCAAGCACAAAAATAGTCCACTGAAGGTAATGCCACAGTTCTTAGTGGTCAGCCATCCAAGCATGTTCAAAGCCCAAGTTGGAAGTTGCATTTTATATACAAAACCCGTTTGCATTTGGCCAAGATGCACAAATAGAAGAAATCCAGCGAAAATGCAACTAAAAAAACCTGTTATATGTGAACACCATTGGCCAGCATTTTTTACAGGAACAGCCTTAAAGAAAAAAAAAATAGTTGGATGCAAAATATTTTAAACATTTTTTGACAAAACCTTTTATTTATAGTAGATTTATTCAGCCTTATTCCCCAAGCTTTCTTGAATGCTACGTTTCAATCAGGTTACATATTCCATTATAAAAGAATTATTTTTTTAATTCTTTCTTTTCAAATTTTATATTTTTTATTATTGAAGAATTTTATTTCCAATTTTGATTCAATGACACTTTTAAACTTTTTGGGACTGTTGATCAGACAATGTTGCATGGAGCCAAACTAATAATAGTCTGAAGAAAGTACTACAAGAAAGAAACATTTTAGCACCGACCAATCTGTTCATGTAGAATAGATTTTTCTTGCAGCTTGTAAACTATGTACTTAATATGACTGACTGCACAAGCAATAAAGATATCATAAACTCAAATTCACTTAAAATTTAGCAAAAAATGCTGCTGAAAACTTTTGCATCTACCTAATATTTAACAGCTACTATATCAAACAAGGAGAAATATATGACTAATCTAAAAGGTACTTGGCAATGACAAAATTTTTTTAAAAGACTTGAAAGCAAAAAAGTAAACATTTTCAATATTATCGACTACTTCCACCAACATGTCTGTTCAAATGACAAATCTTATTCTTCAATATACTTTAATTGAAACTCAAATTTTAAGAGTAAATATCTTTAAACTATATATTAAAGATTTTATAAAAAAACATTTTATTCATGCCAGTAATATTCTAAATTTTATAAACATTTTATCTTTTGTAAGAGATTTCTTCTTGCAAATTAAAAAAAAGCTGATTTTACAAATTGAATTCAAAAGATTTTTTTTTTGATAATGAAACAGACCAATATTTATTTATATTGGTCTGTTTAACTTTGCTTATTTGCAGCTTACCTCTGGTAAAGAACTTTCTGATGTAGAAGAGGAAGTCTGTGAAGAGAAGAGAGAGTCACTGCTCAAATATTGTGAATGACGTAGTTTCAGGGCTAAATCCTGTCGCTCCAACTCCTGATGAACATACAGGGTGCATTTGTAACAAAGATTATAAATCTTTTCCAAATGTTCTTTATAATCATTCACTTCTTTGTTATAATTTGACTGGTAAGTAAAAAGAAAAAAAATATAATTTACAATTCCAGTTAAACAAGCAATTTTCGTACTGAGAGTCTATAAACTTATATCATATGTATCTACATTGTTTGTATTTCACATATTTTAAAAGACAAGCTACACATTGAAAATACCTTAGCTTATGCAGATCCTATTTTATACAATTACTTCAAACTGTTTATACCCATATGGGCATGGGGTTAGCAATTCCACACTTACAGAAAAATCACAGCAGCAACACCTAGTGCAGCAAGATTGGGGAAGTTTACAATACTTTATGGCTGTCAAACTTATTAAACTAGCATGACCATAGATGACATGTTTGATCCCTAGTTTTATTTCTCGCAAGAACAACAGTTTTTGAAGCCAACAAGTGACTTGCAATGCTTATTGCAGATACAGCAAACTAAGTTGTTCTGTACAGGGCCTGGCCCTTTTGAAAATTCTGTTCAGATTACTCATGAGATTTCACATAAGTCGGACTGGAGCAGTTTCTGCATGATTTCTAACACAGCCCACATGCCAAATTATTCCCCAATGTAGTACTAATCATAATTTGTCATAGATATACCAATAGGACTCTCCCTGTGGGTAATGATGCCTGCATTGGAGAGATATGCTCTGCTACATTCTTCACACACAAAGTGATGGATTATTTCCCCTTTTCTAGCTGCACACTGGCCATTTACCAAACTCATTGCAGGTTCTTGGAAAATATTAGTGCCTTCATGATAGCCGGGATGCAACAAGAAAATAAAAAAAAAATAAATAAGAGATCCCAGGGTTCAATATAAAAATAAAGAAAAGAACAGTGGTAGGGGAATTCTCCAAATCCAGACACCAGTAAACACAGCAAGAAATAAACAATGCGTAGACACGGAACGACAGGAGACAATACAAGAAGTTATAATACAAATAGTTTATTTACAAATATACAAGAAGTGAAAGTAAGACAAGAAAAAAAAAAACAAAACAAAACTTAATAACACAAAGGATCGGGAGATAAGCAATCAATTAGACAAATATTACTGCGACGAATATCATAGGAACATAGAGCAAGCAGAAAATAAGATATATAAAAACATGCAACACTTACAGGAGATGGAGATCAATGTCGATCGGGATTTACATCAACAATACAGTAACGAAAAAGACGTTCATACACTCCCCCCCCCCGAACATGAAAGGGAGGGATTATCAATGTTCTAGTATACACATGTGAATCATAAAAGTGTAGCTGATTTGGGTGATGATGTTCTTAATTCTTCGGCCAGCAAACAGTGAAATATAGTTTTGGTGACACCTACTTCTTCCAACTGCAAACAGCTAAAACTGATTCTGGTGACGTCCACCTCGTCCGGGGGCAAGAAGCTAAGTGAAGAATTGTTACCCCGACACACACAAAACAAAACCGTCACATGCCAGCCTAAAAAATGCATAGGCGTCATTCATGGAAGTTCGTCTGGCCTACGACCAAGGACCAGACAGGAAATGAGAGGTTCTCTTCTGAGAACTGGCCCTGATTCAACTGGGGATGAAAAAAAACAAATATATCCCACAATCTGCTTTTTCAAGAAATAACAAAGTTATTAATATTCCTATGTCTCGCCGCACATACACAATGTACTTAAAATATACTTATAAAATTTGAGGGAAGGGTACAAATATTGATCTAACGTAACACTATAGAAAATTGTTCAGAACTTAGAAAATTTCCTGTCTCATGTGCTATTGTGACAGAAGCCCATTTTAACAGTATACAACTGAAAATTCAGGCTTCAAACAAGTGAAAAATCATTGTTATATCATACAGGTAGTCTTGAAGTAAAAAGAAAGATAATACTAACATAATTAATAATTATTAGATCTGACTAGCCTAAAAATTGTGCACAGTTGTTTAAAAGCCTTGTTTTTGTCATATAGGAAAATCCAACATGGCACGTAAACGAAATATTCGGCGAAAAATCTCATTTTAAACACCTCATAGAATGTAAAGTTCTTAAAGCAAACCTATGCCAAACTGAATCCTTGATGACTTGGCTGTCTGAAAATGACATCATCAAGATGAAAAAATGAAAACTGACCATGAAAAACAATTATACACAATAAGTTTTCAATCAATCAGTAGACTTCTAGACCTTTTCAGGTGACGTTATAGGATCCAAACGGTTATTGTTTGCACATGGAATTATTCACTGGTAATTAATCTTTGATTTGGCTGTGGAAAATGTCACTCGGCGGTTAGCATTAAGAAATTATGCCCAATTTTCTGAGAAAAATCACCCTTTTTTTATGAAAAAATATTTATTTTCGCCAATATCATCTGCTAAGTGTTGTTGTCATCACCCAGGTCACAGGGTGTTAAAAACAAAAAACAAAACAAAACACATCAAGCCATTGTTCAAACACAGGTTATATCAAGCCCTACTAATGTTGAACCCCCCCCCTCTTTTTTTTCCCCACTCTGGGAGTGATGGGTTTTATTACAACTTGTTCTAAACATTTATTGCTGTCTGGCTGGCTGACCTTTGACCCAGAGATGTCAACTTGGTTTAATTTTCCTTATCGCTGCTATTTTTTGGAGAAAAAAAAAAAAACTTTTGGTTTCTGGTGGTCAGAAATTGCAGATTAAAGATTTCCGTGGCCGAGTGTCAATTTCTTTTTTAACCCCTGGCAGTCATATAACTGAAAATTACCAATGGACTGTTGCATTTTGACCCCCTAGGAATATTGATTTCCTTCAAAATTCTCATTTTTATGCCTGAAATAGTTTGATTATGATGTAGGCTTCTGATTTTCAAAGAAAAAAAAAAAAAAAAAAAAAAAACTATTTTTTCACATTTTACCCCCCGAAAAAATTTTTGAGTCATTTACACCAGCCAATTTTACTTTTAAATGAAAGAATACATACTTTGCTTTCAGAAAATACCTGGTTTCATAGGGTTCAGATCAAAAGTTTCCTTGATATTTGTTTAGGTGGTAAGATTTTTCAATATTTTACCCCTAAAATCCATTTTTTGAGAGAAAATAAGCTGTGACAAAATGACTTTTGCCATTTTTGTGATGACTTTTACTTGGGACAGAAAATTTTTACCATAGCAAACCTGAATTGACTTTATTTAAGTTCAGTGGGGCTATAGGAAACCTCCAAAAGTTGTGTGTACTCAATGTGGTTTTGCACCAAACAGTATACATGTTTTTTGATTCAAATGCACCTCAAATTGTATGGGTACAGTGATAGCAAACCAATCAATTAAAAAAACAAGACAATGCTCTACAAGGTGAAATTTTCTTTCTTTTTTTTTAAAGTGTTGAATTTCTATGGTATTTCATGCACTGGAGTTTTCAAACACTAAATAAAAAAGTAATCCAATTACCTCTTTCTGAAAGAGGATTTCAAACCTTACCATAAAACCTACCAAACTGACAAGCGTCCATTATTTATTTATTTTTAATATGAGCAGGGAGACAACTCGAAATTTTGTTTATATACTAAAATAGCCTCGAAAATAAAGGAAAGTTGAAGTTGAAGGAAATTTCACTATTTTGATACGTTTTCAGTGTAAACTAGTGCAATGTGTGATACATAATTACAGAAAATGTAAGAATCAAGACCCAAAAACTAAATTTAAAAATATGAAACTGGAAGCCACTAAAATAGTTCTGTTAACAATGATTACATAAAGAGAAAAAAAAGAAAAAAGAAGTCATATTGTGTCCTAGAAAAATAACACCAAATAAAAAAGTAATCCAATTACCTCAACAAATGGTTTAAATACAGCCAATTGTTGCATTTTGAGAAGCTGCTTCTCATTACAAGCAGCACAGAGACCATTGGATGATTGGATAAACTCTTGCTTTTCACAAGGAATTGGGTGATTTAATTCAGTTGTCCATTGGGCTGGGATGGATTTGTTGTAGTCACCCTCCTAAAAATATTAAAGAATAAATAAAGTGAAAAATTTTCTACATCACCTTTGCTTAGTTATAAATGTCATGAAGGCAATAACTGAAATTAATAAAAATTTTCTAACTCTTAAGAGAATACATATTACACAGACCTGAAATATTTTAAACTGAACAAAATGTCATAATTTTAGATGAGGAATTATTAATATATGCCTTTCTATTCAGACCAGCATGCACATCTTAATTGCTATGCGTGTGAATTGGCTGAGGAGCTATCTCATATCAGTTAATTTTCTTTAGTATACTCATTTTTAGGCCACTTGTTTGTTTCTTTTGCTGAACTAGAGTATATGACTTTTCTATACTACTTGACCCAAGGATTGAACTCACAGCTACCGGGAAACCATATATGCTTTAACCAATGCTTTATTCCATTAGGTCATGCATCTCTTGGAAAGCAGAATGAGAAAAATCTGTGGCAGGACTCCAGACTAACTATTTTCCCCATCATCCTAAAAACATTTTAAACCATTCCAGAATCATTTTTTTTTTTTTAACTGTTATCATTTATAGCTATCGACAGCATAATAAAAACACCATTAAGATGTTTAGGAAATAAATATTTCTTTTGATCTATTCAATTTTATGTGTCAATGCAAGTCGTACAGGTTATAAAAAAAATTAAAAAGCTAAAATATATTAGTCTTAATATGAATAAATATAAAACAAATTTAGTTTTATATATATATATATATATATATATATATATATATATATATATATATATATATATATATATATATATATCATTCAAACATTTTGGAAAAATAAACATGAATAATTTTAGACAACATTTTTAATGATTCATTTTCAATGTCACTTTTATCTTTAAGAATTGTGCACTCTGCATTCATTTTCTATATAATAAACATATTAATGCACTCCAATTGTTTATAATCTAAAAAGTTTTAGTCTTTATCAAGTTTCATTTGGTTACATGCCTTGTACCAAGACAAAATTTTCCATGTTTATCATTTAAGTTCTCCCTTGTATTTTAATTCAGTTTATAAGCAGAAAATGTTATAAGGTTACATTCAAGTTTTTTAACCAAAAATTGACAAAGGAAAAAAAATTCTTGCTGCTTATTGAAACAAAATTAGTTCTTACAATTAGATCCTAATGTTTTTCACATTTAGAGATAATAAAAAGGCATGCTTTCTTTGTCTGTACCAGTATGCATAACCCAAATGACTGAAGAATTTCAGTTCCTACATATCCTCATGGGTGGCTCAGGCTTGCTGGGAAAGGGATGAGTTTATTGAGTCACCATCTCTAGAATGGATTTAATCCATATCTGTGCGGGGAAAGAAGCAATGAAGTCATACCTTTCCCAAGGGTATTTGCATGTAAGTGAATGCATTTACAAAAATTTAAGTCCTTTAATCATCATTTACATTTTATTTACTAGTTTAAAAAGAAGTACTTAAATTTTGTTTATATCTTTTGTGTGAGTGTATGTGACTGCATGTTCCAATTATTAAAACTTGGGTACCACTATTGTGAAAAATACTTTTAAAAAAATTAGTTACTTTTATAAAACAATTTTAATTAATAATTTGGTATTATCCCCAAAATCATAAACAGTCATCCTAATGTTCTATTATCTCCAAAAAAGCGCTAACCTTAAGCTCAGCCTTGTGGAGTGAATAATGGGTTCGATTCAGAATTCGGAAGTTACAAAATGCAAATGCATGAAGATGAGCATCCATGTTCAAATAGAAAAGCATATAATAATGAACAAAATTAGGTTTTCAATATGAAAAGCTGCCCAAAAGGTAAATGAATTTGAAAATACTTTCATCAAATTAAGATACCAGGAAACAAAATTCATTTTCTACGACTTTTTTCTCTTTTCTTTTTTACTTAACTTCTCTCTATATATATAAAATATCCACTTTTCACTATGAATGTATAGTAGAATGGAGAAGTTATATTGGCTCTGAAAAGGTTTTTTTTTTGCTGTCCTTTTAAAAAATTCATTAATGTTTGCTTCCCCAACAAATAAAATTATTTTTGACAGTTCTTTAAATAAAAACATAAGAAAAAAATGGAGCTGACTTACACTGGTAAATCCATTGTACTGCTCACAAGAGGGGCAGTCCCAGCAATTACGGTTTCCAAATGGAACACGGACACATTTGCCACAGAACCAGCAATTAACTTTAATGCGAAGTTTAGCCCTGGAAGAAAAAAAAAAGATGATAGAAAGCATTTTTCCTTTAATTTCTGATACATAACTTAAAAAAAAAAAAAAAAAAAAACCAACCAAAATAACAACACCTATTGATATACGTAAAATTATATAATTTAAGGTGAAGTGCATTTTTATCTGGGTCCTGAAGAGTAAAAGATTGCAAAATCGAATCAATCTTCGATAAACAAACTTTGTGAACTTCCAATATTTTTGATACAATAAAAATCCAAAAGAATCTGAAGAATTCTAAGGGAAGTAATTTAACATTTGGTATGCGAAAGCTTTAATGAAATCGTAAGCCAACAATACCGATTTTAATGCCAGTTTTTAACTTTTAAAAGCGGGAGCTGTTGCGTATGGGTAAAAAAAAAAAGTAAAATGTGTGACATAGGAAATGATTAATAGAATTAAAAATATCACTGATATTCAGTAAAGATAAAGTAATGTGTATTAAGTACGACGACCAAAATGCCTAACTTTTACATACGAAAAATCATTTTTTTTTTAAAATTCGCATTTAGCATTGTTTCAAATAAAAAACAAAACTAAAGTGCAAAAAAAGGCATTGAAATTATTTAAAATGCGTGTTTCGGAGACTTATTTATAATCTGTGGCGGTACCTAAACTGTACAATTTAATTACAATAATTACTGCCAAAAAAGTTATATCAAAAAGTTGTGAGGACCAATATTTAAAGCAGCTATGTTAAACTTTTTCAATATTATCATTACTCCCTGTAATAATTTTGACAGAGTAGCTACTTTAGAGTTCTAGAGGAGAAAGAAAAATATTTAGGTAAAAATCGGTATCAGCGTTTCAAACTATTTTTACATATCAAATATGGATTTATTTCCCTTACATAGGACGTGACCTTCTTGAAGGAGACACACAAGCCTCCCTTATAAAAAGGGTGTCATGCATACGAAATACAACAAAAAAGTGATCCAAAATAGTATGTAATTTGCCCCGTTTGCTACGTAAAAAAAAAAAAAAAAAAAAATTCAATATCTTGCAGAATTTGTAAAACAAAAATAAATATTGACATTTGGATTTGAGGACATCAAATTGCTTAAAAGCAAAGCCTTTAAAAGTGGCCTAATGATACTGGAAATACAAAGACTATGGGGCAACCTGTTAGAAGCCTTCAAAAGGATCCACGGTTTGGTAGATATTGAGTATTTACTATATCTATGAAGATAACAGTATATGGGTGCACCTCAAAATCTAGATGACCAGAGTCTGGAAGATGATCTCTCCTCTGACCTAGCACTAACAGATCAAGGAGTGGGAGGAACTGGTCTGTCACATTCATTACCTAAAGGAAAAAAGTAACATTCCATCATCACTGAACAGAACCTGAATTTTTTTGCCTATTACGATGAAATCCAAATTGTGATTAAAATATGAGGCTAGTTCAAAACATTTTATGTGGGATATAAAGGAAGTGAGTCAGTGCAAAAACAATTTGAAATGTTGCACTATTATTATTATAAAGTAGACAATTCTAATGGGAAAATATGACAGAAATGTATACTAGTACCTATTTTCATGGTATCATACAATAAATAAATAGTGTTACTATTTTTATAAGTTTCTAAGACACGAATGTTTTTACAAAAGTCAAGCATAGAGCCACGAGTATTTTTGAAAAGTAAAACAAATCTTGTATCTTAATCAAAGTAGCATAAAAAATAAAAATCAACATAGAACAAATGAAAAACCTTTGTTTGTTTTTTATATGTCTTGTTATCCATTAATAAGCACTGAAAATTCTGTTTGAATCGAATAATTCTCCTATAGGTACCTCCAAAGATTAGCGAAGAAAAAAATACCCCAAACTTAAAATTTTTTTTTTTTTTTTTTTAAATCTCAAAATCTTTATTAAGAGATGCCAAAGGATATTTTGATTATTAAATTATATTTAGAAAGTTTTTTTTTTCGCTTGCATCAGCAGGTGACCATAAATTAGTAGGAGGGGGGGGGTCAAGCAATTGTTGAATTTAAAATTTGACATTTGATTTTTTCCCTCCCCAACAAAATTAATGAAATTATTTTTAGAAAGATTTTTATTTTTTGAACTCTTGGTAAGACATTTCATTAAAATCAGACAATTATTTGATGTATGCAAAAATTTCCAAATGAATGTTTTTCATTACCCTCAACCCCTGCCAAAAAAGACACTAAAGCTTCCTATAATCTTTGGTCCCACTGCTAACACAAGAAGGAAGATCTTTCACCAAAATTTTGAATGTTCTAAAAAGGATATAAAAATAATTTAACAAAAAAAATCCCCTGATCTTTCCTCTTAATAACAAATTTTGATGATTGATTGTTTTTATTAAGTTTGGGGGATTTTTACATAATTTTTTTTTAGCAAATCTGTGGAAATACCTAGAAAAATGTATGGAAAATTTAACTAAAAGAGACAATAACTAGAAAAATTATATGATGAATTAGTGAACACATTTTTATAATTTTTTAGAACTACCCACGATTTCCAATGTTTTATTGAATTAGGCACTTCAACATTATATCCTTATTTATGAAGACACTTGTTGAGGAAATGTTAAACAATTACCAATTTTATTTCCTGATGTGTATGGATGTCACTATTTACAAAAAAAAAGAAAAGAAAAAAAAGACGTTTTTGCACACACAAAAAAAATTATTTTTTAAATACTGGGGCTGGTGTCATTGAATTGAAGCTTTTCAATACAGTTTTAATCTAATAAAAATATCATTTGCCTGCTACACATTGATACACAATTTAAAAAAGAAAATATGAATAAATTAGGTACCTAAGATTTAAAATTAACTTTTAAAAATGAAGTCTTTCTTGAAACATTTTAGTTTTAATTTCAAGCTAATAGTTTAAACTAGCAGTAGAGCCCGGCGTTGCCCGGGGATGTAACAGTAAGAGATAGATCAAGTATCGACCATCATAAAGACTGAAAAATAAAATTGACAAAGATTATTGTTTAAGGTTGACAGACACGCATGTCTTAATTAGTTTTTTGTTTATTTTTTTTATTTTTACGAATTGGTCAAACCCAAACAAAAATACTGTTTTCAATTGTTATGAGTCTACCGATTGAATAGAATTTTATTATAAACAATTGTCTTGTAAATGGAATTTTTAAAGCATTCTGAATGTAAAAATAAAGAAAAAGTGTGCAAGACAATAAGAAACACTATCTGCCAAAAAAAGTGAAGTTTTGTTGAAATCTGTTGAAAAATGTAGGAAATCCGATCCCATATATAAAGGAACACACACAAACAACCAACCTGGGTTTTATAATAAGTATAACTCGATATTAATAAGTATAACTCGATATGAGTTGTCCCCCTTCATTAATGCCTCTTAATTGTGTTTTCAAATTGATTTCATGCAAAAACAATTGTTTTTCCAATTTTTGGTACTGTCAGAACCACTGCAAGGTAATTTTACGTAGTCCTGTGAAGTTTTGTTGAAATCGGTTGAAAAAATGTAGGAAATCCGATCCAATATATAAACGTACAGACAGACACACACAATCTGCGTTTTATAATAAGTAAAATTTAATATTTCCAAGAAACAAAATTCTTTGGTTTAATTCAAAACTAAATTAAATTGACTGAGAGTTTGACTGAAAAAAAAAAAAATCTTGCAAAAAAATATAAATAATTGTCGGATGTTAATGAAACTTTCAGGAACTATTCACAGATGATCGAAATTATTATGTGTTTTTTTTTATTTATTAAAGTCATGACAGAAATATTTTTTTTATATTTATTACCCCCACCCATAACTAATTTCATAAAAATGCTAGAAATTCGATGGAGTCTAGTTTAATGATTACAATAGTTAAAAGCACAAGGTTTGAGGAATGCAAATCATGTTTTTTTTTTTATTGGACCCCCCCCACACACACACAAGAAAATCAGCTCTGAATTGTAACATACAAAACTCAATAAAACAAAGATATTTAATTTCAAATGCTTTTATTTGTTTTTATGAATATGGACAATATTTTCAGAAAGCAAAAAATTTTTTCAATGAAAAATGAATTTTTAATACAATTATTTGTTATTTCTTAATTATAATAGATTTTTACATTTAATTTTTTAAAATATTATAAAATTAGTTAAAAGCCACATCAGGTTTCCTCAGTCTCCTTATGAGATAGATCTTTTTTTAGCACATTGTAAATTGTATCATTTTGACTAATCAGAAGATCCACAGTAATTAAGAAACGTAATTGTGTGTTTATAATCAGGCTGTAATTATAACGTACGGAAGACCAACCAGAGTACAATTAAGTTGTGTCATTTGAGTTAAGCATTGTTCTCTGCTGTTAAGTAAGGCCTTCCCTTTGTGAAACACATGTAGTGAAATTAATATGATTTTTCAATTTCAACTGAGAAGGGTACCTCAAGTATCAGTATCATCTTATGAAATTTATATGATCTTATTTTTATATTAATCTCAGTTATGATATTTTTCCATAAATGAAATATCAAAATTAATCATAAAATGAATGGAAATACAAACAACACAGTAAAATGTAATAAATGTACATAAAATTATAGTATTTTCTGTACACTTTTGATAAAATTTCATAAGAAAAGTACCTATAAATTAGATACCTTTCTTATGAAATATGAAATGTAATCTCACTCTTAACAGTCTTATTTTAATTTCTTTGTAATATATTTTCAATAAAGCATCGTAAACATAAAGGTGAAAGCTAAGTACAAAAAAAAAAAAAAAAAAATAGAGCGCTGAAAGTTTTCCTTAAAAATAATGAGGTAAATAATTTGTTCACTTAAATTACAATTATTTCACTTTTCTCCTTCCTTAGAACAAATTAGCCTCACGGAATATCTGTAAATTTGTCATTCATCTCCTGTCAAGTCACACGAAAGTTTATGACCTGCTTTGCTTTATTTTCAAATTACATCTTTTTGGTGCAGAAGCTAAGTTAAGCTTGGTTTAAAATATTTTAA